GGGGGGGGGGGGGGGGGTTAGCGTGAACAAAGTGGGAAAAAATTTTGTTTAATATTTTTTGTTTTCTATGAAGGAGGTCACTGCTTTTCAGTTCTGTGACTGCTATACGGTGCCTAGAAGTGCCGTCAAATACATATTTGTACCCTTTTCCTTTCCTTCTATTTCTCTGAATACTAAAGGAGCTAAGCAACAACTTTAATGTTGTAAGAATTTGCATCTTCTACTTTTAACATTGTTTATCTTGTCACAAAGAACAGAAAACACATCTCCTTCCTTCGAAATGTTGCGATTCCGTCGTGTAATCGCAAGGCAGAAATAAGAATATTTCCGGACATGCAGCCGCGAGTGGCGGCCATGAGAACCACATGGCGCGACGTCAAAGGGGGACTTGTAAAAAGATAGCAAGTTGTGCAAACACCTGCTCGATAAAAGGTACGGTAAAACCTCATTAATTCAAAGCCCGCTAGTTCGGAAATTCAAATCATTTAAACTCACGATCCGGTCCCGTCAAACGTATGTATTAGTCAATGGCACGAAACACTCATTAATTCGGAGGCAGTGCGACACACCTTTATTTCTTCCCAAAATAAAGGTGTGTCACAGGGAAACGTTTTTGCACAGTTTTCTTTGTCCTTTCGAAATATAGGCTTTCGGATAATTCTAACATTTTTGCTGGTCCCATGAGATCCAAATTAACGAGGTTTTACTGTAATTGTTCTATAAATCTTGTGGTTCCAACATAAATATAAATGCGTCAAAAACCTGTATCATCGACCAAACTTTTATTATATGGAGTTTTATTATTATATGGAGTTTCGTCAACAGAAACCGTCAGCTCTATCTGCTACCACGAACAGCCACCAAAAGTCTGAGGGGGACGGGGGCAGAGCCGGACGGGGACGGCCAAACCCGGACGAGCATGTTGCCACTTTCCTCATTTCACGATGTTGATCGCGCTGTGAAAGCATGTGGTCACGTGATCGCTAGAGGGCGAGTTCTCGCCACTAGCTGATGGTTCTAGATAGAGAGCTTCACCGGAACCCCGAGCGTCCTCCTTTCACGTTGCAGCGCACGTGACGCGGAAGATGCAGAAGGTGCTGAGAGGTGCCGAAAACCTTAATCTCTTTTTTTTTAAATAAAAACTGGGACATGCAGGCAAAGGCAGTTTTTTGTTCTTTACTTCAGAAAGGTTGAGACACCAACTCCCAAATTATTTAAGCAAAGCACTGAAATTGTTGCACAGCTCCTTTAAAAGGAACAAACAGTAAATATTTTTCGGGGCAAGTCTGGTGCAATTTTTAGAAAATTTGTCTCTTTGGTGCTAGATGTAGCAGACTTCCATTCGTCGCACAATCTGGTGCAAATTGAACATAACTTCCAATACTGTAAATGCAAACGGAGTAAATTAACAGGGAAGGTTGCTTCTCAACAAAAATGTAAGTTTCTAAAAAAGAGTAATCACATTGATCACAAAAATGGGCTTAGACGTTTCTGGTGCTTAGCAATTCTTAAAATTTCTTTTATAGAAATTAAAAAAAAAAAAAGATATAGGCAAGTGTGTTATAAATAATTTTTATAGCACACAATCTAACTCAAAAAGATGGAACTTACCCTAAAACGGAGCCATTTTGAAACTAGGTGAATCTGCACACTAACTAAGCTGCTTGTACTATTCGCGACTTCAACTGTCTATAGCTGGCGTCACTCGTTTTACAACATGGCGGCTATACACCTTTCCAAGAAACACTCGACCCCAGGGAAAACAGACCGTTTTCGAGCCCAGTCACTGGGTTTGAGGCTAGACTCTCACCGGCGTCCCTACTAACCCTAGCCGAGTGGACTGTGATTTCGACAGGCGCAGCCTGGGTAGGCGCAGTTTCAAAAACTGCTGGAGGCAAAGTTTTCGTCTTTTCCCGCTACATGTTGTGTTTTATGGTGAATGTATTTTCCCGAGGACATGGAGAAAGCATTGTACCACACTTAAAAAAAATTTAAAAAAGCAACAAAAAAAAACAACAAAAAAACTAAACTATTTGTGTTGGTTATGCACGCGACAGAACAAATGCGACTGGAATGTTAGTTGTCGTTTTTCTTTTTTACGATACGTTTTGACAGCGCCGCCCGATTAACCGTGTGCCAAACGACAAAGCGCTTAGCTGTAGAAAATAATTTATAACAGAAGATAATCGAAAGGTATGCATTTTTCAAGGTCACAAATAACGTGCTTACCGATGGACAGGCCAGGGACATACAATTTAGCAAGTTTTAACATTCACACAATATATTGTATGTACCACACGATGCAGCGTTACTCGAAAAGAATTTATTTGAGAAAAACTCAAATAACAAAGTCAAAGTGGACGACAGTCACATCTTGAAGATCGGACGGAATCCAAGATGACTTCGTTTTGGGGCACGTTTTGGGGAGAGCTTCCTTTTTTCACGACAACACCAAGGCAAAGGAACGAACGCGACTGACCCATTTCCCACTCCAACCCGGACAACTATTTTTGGAGATGACCGAGTATTCTACGCGGATTACCTTTGCGAGGGGGGAGAACGATGTTCGCAAAATCGCGTCGAGAGTCGTACGACGTCCTTCACCTCCTTTGTTTCCCGTGAATGTTGAGCAGAACAGTTGAATGGCAAGCACTTAGCAGCCTTATTTCTCACAATGGAAGATAACACAAAAAGGGTACCCAGCAAGCATGAAAAAAAGTTAAGTGGAAACTTTCAAGAGGGGCAAGAAAACATTGAATGCAAAAGCGCAAGAGTGTTGGTAGAGAACCGCGCTGAGCGGGTCTTCACTGTGCAAAGAGACTGGCAGAAAATTTCTAGCTGATAGAGTGCGCGAGAGTCGCACCAGCCGCATCAGCATCAGCAACATGGCGGCGGCCTAGGTGCGGTTTTCGGAAAGGTGTATAGTGAGAGTCGGGAGGTGCGTGCTAGTGTACCAGTTGCTGAGCCCGTCTAATGTGCTGGCTTCACTAAGCGACACAAATTATTTATGCTTATACAAGGAAGCAGGGGTATATGCACGCAGGTCAGCTCTTTTATCCTGAAAACACAAGCAGCGTTTAGCGTTTTAAATCAGGAACAAAACCAAAGCTAACATCCACTTTGGATTTAATTTCTCAAAATAGGAGTTAATTTCGAATGTCCTCCTAACTTAAGATGTGACTCGCAGTGTAATTACTGAGCTGAAGAAATTGTTTGCGGAAACTTTATTTTGTGACGTGCGTATCCGATCCAGGCACTTCAAAACATTTTGGAGAATTTGGTGTCCCTTTAAAGACAAGGCCTTTCCTTTACCTTATATGTAACCAACAATATTGTATTTGTTGAAAAAATCTGTGGTGATATTTATTTGTGTTCTTGCTGCTGTTACTCACTCAGATATTTGTTATGTGAAAAATTGAACTGCTGGCCAGCAGTAGAATAACAGAACAAATCTAAATTTTACAAAATAATGCCACAGGTTATGAGTTCAGAATATGTTCACAAAACAAATTAAGGAATGCTGTTCTCAGTACAAAAATCCCAAAAACGGAACACAAGACAGACAACAGAAGTGTGCGTGTTTTGAAGGCAATGCCTGATGCATAGAACTTTATATTAAATCCATTGTTTGTCTATCTTGCTAACTACATCAAAAGTTCATATTAAAAAAAAAAAAAAAAGCAAAATGAGACCTCTTTGTAAAGACTATCCTGGTTAAGGTTAAATTAGGTATGTGTGATTCTAGCATTTATCGGGGGCCTACATTACCGCAATTTGCATTAATAATTATGCAATTAAGCTGTATTTAAAAACATAGTTCTTCAAGTTCTAAAATATTTTTGTTGCGTATGATCTAATTTTAAAGGACTATATAGCAATCCAAAGTCGCAAATTACAGTAAAACCCTTTATTTTCGCGGCCCCTATTTTTCGCAAATCGGTAACAGAGGACATAATAGCGGCCATTAAATTTCGCAAATTCCAGTCGCGTGCATTGAAACTCTTAAGAACCGAAATTTTCATGTGTCCCTAAATTTCGCAAATTTTTCAATTCGAAAAATTAAGGGCTTGCAAACATTAAGGGTTTTACAGTAAGACTGGTGCGTGCCATTTGCAGCATTTTTAATTACCAAGTTATAAAATAAAAAATACTCTAAAATCAAATAAAACACTTTAGCTGGTCTTGAAAAATTAAAGTAAAATGAAATTAATTGTGGGTAAAGCATGGTGCAGCAAGTTTCGCGACTTTTGACAATCGAGTAAACTTCCCAATTCGCCTCCAATCCTACCGAACCAATCAACACGAGAACTTCTTAATTGTCGTGTTGATACAGCTCCGGCAAGTCTTTGCGTGTTTTCCGCTTGTTGAAATTATCACCGAGCCTACTGCCATTCAGTTACTGGACTACCGATCTTTGTCCGGGAAACCCAGTGCAACAAAAATTCCTAGATGTTTGTGGCAGAATTAAATTGCTACACTGCAACTCTGCTTCATTCCACGTGGACCAATATCGATCTTCTTGAATTGTGCTATGCACCCTCGACAAGACAAGGGCAAGATAAAATACCCCTAGTGCATCGGATTCCACAAATTCGGTAAAAAAAAAACTGATGACTCAAACATGAAGAATAAGATGTATGAATGATTGGCGAAAAAGATGTGCTGTACATACCCCTGTAAACAAGTTTCTGGGTACCAGGCATGGACTGCACATTTTAATTTTGGCATACCCCCTTAGATAAAACCGATTGACAACCAGAGTACAAAACGATTATTAGACTTGCCGTTTTAGTCAGTGTCTTTGAATCCGCTTTCAATTACAGCGACCAACCGGAACACTGTACGCTCGTGTTTTTTTAAACAGCCTGCACGGTCATGTGCGTCACAAAATGGATTTCCCCCGCAAGAAAACGCCTAATTAATGAAACATGTATGCAACGAGACGCTATTTAGACGGAAGCGTGGATAAAGCATCCATGCCGTACGGGAAGGACACAGACCTGAGTTGGGACGGCTGTCAGTCATGTGGGGTCTCGCAGAAGGGGCACCGTCCTCTGCGCGGACCCGGATGGCGTACGCCATCTTCTCCTCCCGGTCAAACTCCACCTTGGTGTAGATGTCCCCTGTCTCCCGGTCAATGGAGAAGTACTTGTCTCCGTGGTCCCTCGCCTCGATGGCATAATACACCTGCAGCAGCAACGTCTCATTCTAAACATCCGAAGCTTACTCCACCACTGCATAAAAACCAAAGAGAGAATCCTCGCTGTTCAATAATAATGTGTGGTTGCTTTTAGGACAGCTCATCTACCAAATGCAGTTGTGCTGAAACCTGGCTTTTTTTCTTTTTCTTTTTTTAACAGAGGAAAAATAGTTAATTGACGTCACCCCCCCCCCCCCCTTGAAGTTCAAAGGGCTTGCATTGAACTGTTGATGCAGCAAATTATTTTACATAAAAAAAAAAAGTGCTTTTTGTAAGGACACCTAGCCGTATTATCACGCTAGATTTTGCGAGAAGCAAAATCAAGAAAATTTTGCTTTACAGTATTTGTTTTTTAGAGAAAATATTTACAAAAGCTTGATCATGCTGACAAAGATTGGGGAGCACAGAATGTTGCGAGCTACAGTATGTTTTTTAGGAAAAATTTACACAAGCTTGATCATGCTGACAAAGATCGGGGAGCACAGGATGTTGCGAGAGCAAACACACAAACACAAAAAACCACACACTGAGTGTGGTTTGCGTCAGGCCGCCCTTTAAAGCCCGACCCGCAAAAGCTTTTTCTTCCTGCCAGAAGTTTTCTCCTTTCCCTCGTTTCCCCCTTTTACCTCCTTCTCGCTGTCTTACATCCTTGCCGCATGTTGCGTCGCTAATAACTAGACCGTATACTTTACAGTTTCAACCGAACATCTGCCAGTGACGAAAATTAAAAATCTGTTAAAACCGACAAATACGGATTTTTGCATATTTTCATACAAGCCAGTTTGTTTTTCAACAAAAAAGTCCTATGTAAACGTTTATCAGACACAGCCTTTCTTTTCTTTAATGGTCGTCACTTTTGGGTTGATTGTCAAGCCTCCCAAGGTCTCTTAGCAATCGAGATGTATTATTTCTGTCAGTGCTGGTTACTTTGACTTCAGCTTATGTCCCTAAAAGTTTGGCCTTATTGTGTCCTTCTGTAGATTGCCCCGTTGTAGGTTGCCCTCCTTCTTTGTGATTGATGGGTTGTGAGAGAACCTCATGGGTGTTTTGGACAGGCACAGCAAAGCTTTCTTGGTCATGGTGCTTAATGAACAATCTTCATTACACTGCTTGCTTCTTTTAGAGGAGGGTTGAACATTGTAATGCTAATCTCAGGCGGAACCAACAAGCTGATGCTTTACCCCAGCCTCCACCACCTCTGACATGTGTATTATTTTAGGCTGATATCGCACATTCTTTCTTGTAGGCTCAGAGACGTCCAGGTCTGTTCTGTTGTACTGTAAATAACATAATTTTTGCAAGTGACTTGTTGCAAGTCCGAGTGTTCCCGGATTTCGCTAAATATAAATTTTGGGAACAGTTTGCAGGCACGAAATTTTATGATTGCAGGAGGCTCGCCATCTATATTTATTACCACAGAGTGATGCATACGTGCAACAAATTTTTCTCAATATTTTTAAATCGAGAAATCTACTAAAATTCGGTCATTGCAAAAATTAAGCTACTTACAGTGTTTGATGCGGTTTAAATAGTGAAAACCATCTTTTGTCTTCTGATAAAAAACAAAATAAAATCTAACAAAAATTTGGAAGAAAAAAACGTACACAATGTTGTCGTTAAGAGAAAAAAAAGCGGTCATCGATGTTCTCTTGGCAAGAAGATGCTATCCAAAGATTTGTTAAAATGAACAAACTATGGAAGGAACTTCATGGGCCAAGCAGATTCAAGCATGCGAGAATCATGGCTCAGCTTTCTCGAGTTTTGGTTTAAACTCCGCTCAGCCCTACGATGCCACTGCAGTGGGAGCTACGCGCTCTCCGCACCAATCAACCGCTTCCCTTCCATCCCCTGACTTTGTTTCTCTGCATGTGGGCATGGGCGGGAGTGTAATCAAGTGGCGAAGGGTACATAGCCTTCACCGTACTGTCGGCTTGGGGTAAACAGAATACAATACTTTTTAAGCTCAAAATTCAAGGTAGGCGAAGGGATAGTTTCAAGGAAGGAGGACAGTAGGGAAGAAAGGAGGCATGGATTTTGCCTTTCTTGTCGGGATTACTAACTTGTCACGGGACTAAACTTTCATCATCCTAAACGGCAACATGAAACGGAGAGTTATTTTCTTCTTTTCTGCTGTGGGACAAGCAGCAAGGACAAAAAAGAGGGTTGGCGAGGGAGAGCTTTCTTCTTTCTGCTTGTTGGTCGGCCTTTAACATCAGCCCCACTCGCAAAACAACACACTTCATACGTGATTTGCACTCAAACGATTTGGTGCTCCACGGCCTTTGTCCGCATGTTCAAGCTTGTGCAAATTCATTCTGAATGCACCAAGAGGCTGGTGTTGAATGGATCCTGCTGCTGCTGCTTCTTACGCTGCCAGTATTCTCACATTCGCTCGGCTCTAGTCTGCCCCGGTGCCATGGTGGTGCACCTAATCGAGGGGAGCCGGCTCAGCCCACTTGCATAGGTGCTCACTTTGGCTTATACGGCTGTGGCATGATATGTGACGTAGATACATGTCAGAAGAGGCAATCTATCCCTTGATAAAGTAAAGCCAAGTACAGTTTTTCTCTGTTCCCCACACAGCTGTACCTCACACATTTGCACTGCTCAGCTCAGTCGGTTTAGTATCTGGCAGGGAATAACTTGGTGCAAAATTCAATTCCCGTCGGCAGTCTTGCTTGTATTAGTTTTCAAATGACCTCATGACTCTAAGCTTCATATACACTCCGTGCGACGCAACTGGCGCACCGCCGCGCGGCCGTTACCGAAGGTACTCAATGAGAACGCCAGAAAAAACGAAACCGAAACCACGCCGCGTACGTTGGTATGCAACTATGCATTGAAGTCGGAGCGGTGCGGTTGCGCTGGGTTCACAGTATGAAGTGCTGCCGGTACTTCAATAGTTATGCGTCATATATCGCGGGGCCAAAGTTTCACAGTTTTTCACCTCGCCGATGTTCTGTGGGGCAGTGACAACGATGGACCCGTGCCGTACGACGCGAGAAATTTAGTCTCCCGATCATGTCTGCCACTGTGTTGGCACGGCTGACATATTCTACACTGCCGCTTTGCGTTTGTTTTCGTACCAGTAACGCCTACATGTGTTAGCGCCGATGGGACGAACTGAAATGCCATCCCACACTCGCGGGTATGCAGTGCCAATTTCGTTGGAGGAATGCCCTCCAAAGACGTTTCGTCCCCATCGTACGTGTCTATGATATTTCCGGACAAGTATGGCACACAGTCTGTACTTCATGAAGAAAGATTTGGACGGTAAAAAGATTACAAATATGAATCTAAGGAAAACTACAATGAAACTTGGAATTACAGGAGAATCGACGTTTGAGTATAGAAGTTTATGTGGTGTGCTTTCTTTCTTGATCAGCCTCCTTTCGGATGTGGAAACGCTGACAACACGAGTCTTGTAGACAACAATTTTTATACTGCTTTACAGCCACCGATCGCATTGACAGCCTTTGACGCTCCGAACCTTTTTTTATTTAATTACGCCGCCCAAACTATATTTCCACCTGGTTTCGTTGTGCCACCTCTTGTTGGTATAATAAGTGTTATGTCAAGTTACGGTCATGTCAAAGTACCTGTGTGCCGAAAATCAGCACCTCGCACAACAGGTTACTACACAACAGCTGACTGCAAAAGCCTTTCACGGCCGAACCATGTGTTGACCGACAACTTTGTTTTCTCGGCTTTGGAACCACCTTTCGTAAAGTTGTTTTATTTCTAAGTACAGTGCACTAGTCCCTTCCTACCCGTAAAGTCTCCACCTCCCACGACGAGTGGTGATCTCTTGACAGCCCTTTCATGGTCAAAACCGGCTCCCATTGAGTTACGCCGCCCGAACCAAATTTCTACCTGGTTTTCCTATGCCACCTACTTTTGGTATGATAAGTGCCGTGTCATTTTACTGTCAAGTCCAAGCACTTGTGTGCCCAAATCTGCACTTCGCACAGCCCGGTTACAACACAACTTTTTTTCGGTCCCGGTATTGGATATTCCGTACAGCTTTATTTCTTTACTCGTTAGAAACATAAAGTGCCGTTCACACTCTTGCCGCCGAGTAAGACAGAAAGAGACCAGACCGGTTTTTAAGCCTTTTGCGACTTCTTAGGACCAGCTCCGCTGTAGCGCATCCGGTCCAAAGAGATTGCAAGAGGCTTAAAAACGGGTCTGGTCTCTCTCAGTCTTACTCGGTCGCAAGAGTGTGAACGGTGCTTAACTTTCACACCTGACGAGCGAAATAAATTTTCCACTGAGAGCAATTATGGTGGCGGCCGTCTTGCTTTTCAGAAAATTGCTCCAACTCCTTTCTTCGCCGCAACTAGAGAAATTACCCCTAATAACGACTCAAACTCAATATATAAGAAGTGGAGAACAGTTAAATGCCCTTCTTAGGTCTGCTCCAGCACTCATGCAATGTCACCCTCAACGCATCGGCTCAAAAAGCAAAAGTTCCGTCCGTGCACGCTTCCGCCGCCATAGCTTGGCATGCAAAAAGGCGCCGCAGGCTGCCGAACGCGCCTCACTGTCGAAAGCCAGCTCCTCCGCTAGCGGCGCTACGCGCGTTTTTCAAAGCGCCCCCTATAGTTCCCGCACGGAGTGTATATAACTTGAAACTATGTAATAGTCGAGCTTGACGGTTTTTCTATAAAAAAATTATTTATGAAACACGTTGTGTTAAAAAAGACTAATAAGAGGACGGTAGTGTACTGTTCAAAATTGCCTTAGTCTTGAAGGCTATCTTTGCCATAAAACTATAGCGACAAATAAACAGCAAAGTTATGCAAGCAATTTTTTCCACAGGTAACTTCAGCAAAACTCGTTTACAGCTCCTTTTCACAGCTTCACAATCCTACCGCCAGACGCCACAAAAGTTATGAGGTCCCGGCTAGGCAGCCGTGTCTTGCAACTTTAGACTTAAGCCACCATAGGATTGAAAAGTCAAAGTAAGTACCGCAGTTTATTTGTGACACCACAAAATATTCCTAATGCCCAACGGAAAGAACGTGAAAGCTGTGAAGTAGGCTGTAAAAAGTTTCACACTTCTGTGCAAAACTCCTTCGTGCAATATGCTGCACAGTGCTGAAGCAAAGCCTTCACAGTGCTCAAGCCCTGCACTGCTGCAGAGAAAGAGCAAAGATGGGTGAGGGAGCTCTTCCTTTCACCCGTTGTAGACGGCAAGAGTGACAAGGACAAGTTCCTTAATCTGGCCCTACCATTACCTCATTCTCCTATTATCGAGCACGGAAAAAAAAATATGCCTTCACATCTTACTTTACACAAAAAGCTGGATGTGGTATGACAGAAAGATTGAACAAACCTTGTTGTTGGGATAGGTGCCATCCTTGTCTGCTGCCTGAACCTGGGTGACTTTCGTGCCAGGCGGCAAGCCTTCCAGAACAGTCTCCTGTTCCCGCTCGATGAACAGCGGGATTTCGTCGTTCACGTCCTCCAGGACAATGTACACCGTCGCCTCCGAGGCCAGCTGTTGGATTCCGTTGTTCTGGGGAACGGCAAGCAAATCCCGACTCAGCCCGACCCAGAGGTTTAAACTGCCTTGAGCGCGCGACTTATGAGAAAATGCATGCATCAGTTTCGACTGCAAGGGTAAGGATTGCAGAAGGCGCAGGACTGTTGCAATCTATGTTTAATACATCATGATTCCCTCCTGTCACCAAACGCACCGGGAAGGAGGGGCTTTAGAACTATTTTGAAAGCGCTGTTGTGGCTACTTGGCACATCAATCTGAAATATAATTTTGATATTCGTAATCCTGGAAACCAAATTAAAAAAAATCCAAATTTTTTTTTTTTTTTTTTTTTTTTTTTTAAATACAGAATTTCTTTAGTTTCCCTTTCAAAATATAGAATGCTTAAAAAGAAAAGAGTAACTGGTAGCCTATTTGCAATCTGCCTGCATCCAGTAACAGATGGTCACTGAATTGTCTGAACAATATGTTAACTTAAGGTGAGCATGGGATTTCGGTAGGATTCTGTGTTTTCAGATAAAACTGAATAAACCCAAAAACCTATGGCGGTAAAAGTTTAGCCAATGCAGATTTATTTGAAAAACCCAAATACGATATTTTCTGGCATATAAGTCGCAGTTTTTTCTAAACATTTTTCTTGGTGTGTCTTATAAAATACACGGTGCGCCGCAATTTTTATATGTGCCGCGCGTCATCTTTTGTGGAGCACCGCAACGTGACAGCAACCACGTAGCCATAGGAGGTGTTGCCCCTTCAAAGAGGCACGGCTGTCGCCACGTTTTTCTACACTTTTCATAACCGACTCGGAAAACGAGAAATTTTTATGGTTTCCCCAGAGCGGCTCAATCTGGATAGGCAAGATAGTGAGAATAAAACTTCTACAGCATGTGATCGAAGTTGCCTAATTCAGCTAAGGTTCCGTACTCTTTTGCTTCAGTCCAGTAACACTGAAAGGTAAGTGGGCTGGTATACATGCATTGCAGAAATTTTTCTCGCGTCTTTCTTAGTTTCCGTTTGATGAGCAGTTTTTATCTCTCATGCTACAGTCGTGTTGCTACATGTAAAACGAAGGACTGCGGCTAGCCCATCTTCTGGCGGTACCCAAAGAAGTGTGTCAAAATTTATCTATCTGCCAGTGCGTTGATGCTCGTGTCGTCTCTGTGGCTTGGCCTAGACTAAGCCTAGTGGTGCAAAGCTTGTTTACGAGTTTCTTCCATGTTAAACTTTTGTTCGCTCCGCATGTGTACACTCGACTAAAGCCGACTACCATCTCGTTTTGCGCGTTTTACGTCCTATTGCTGCGAAACACTCGATTGCCCCCGCCAGACAGCGCCGTGCTATGGGCATTTCTTGAGAGTCAAAACAGAAAAGTTGCGCATCGAATGTATGTGGAATCTGGCCGATCATGCGAAAACTCAGATTTCGCGATACCAATGCGCATAAAACAAAAAAAAACTCGTCGCGTGAACCGTGCAAAGAGGTGCGACTTATACACCAACTTTTCCACGTAAACGGCTCAATATACAGAAGTGTGACTTATACAAAGCAGTAGAAATCCCAATGAAAGCAAAAAGAAAAACATGAATCATTAGGATATTTTTAGTTTGGTTAGAACACCAGATTAGCAGTTCTGAGGAAGGACCACATCAGATTCCATTCGAATTTCAGATGACTGACAAAAGAAGGAACTTATTGCGTCAACATCCATTCAAGACAAAAAGTCCAAGTGTTTCTGGGTCACAACAGAACCAAATCTACACAAGGGATAGTGCTAGCCACTGTTCCTGTTAGTTTAGACCACACTACTGTAGAACTTCGTTAATATGTTCTCGGTACATGAACACCTGTTATGTTAAACCCCCGACAAATTAAATGTCGCATTTCTGAAAATTTTGAATTGCACGCAAAACTTTCTATTAAAATTAATGAAACAAAAGAAAAAAAAATGTGCTATAAATCTCAAGAAAAATTATACAAACACATGGAACACTACTAGATTGGGCAAACTGTAAGGAGTCCATTGCAGTTATTGGGTTTTGTGAATTGCATAGTGCCACGCTCGGTGGATGTGTGCCACATCGACGCATGAAGGATTCGTGCACGAAGCCCAAGAAATGTGTGCACCAATGAAAAAGGTTGGTAATATGACAACTATCAATCAAATTTAATGAGTCCTTCCAAAAGCAGTTTCTCTCTACCTGGCCCACCAGGTCTACTGACATGAGGAGTCAATGTAAGCTTTCTCACATTTCAGCAAAAACTTCCTTGGCTATGAGTTCTCTCCTCTTCAATGTTGCCAGATCATTGCAACACCTAGATCTAAACAGCCACGCCTAAAAACTACTGAAACAAGGAATTATATGAAGCTGAGAGCAAACCCAGCTCAGATTCTAACCAACCTCACAAACAAAAACGGAACCCACCTCCACACGGACGGTCAGGTTGTACTGCTGGATGCGTTCATAGTCCAGCGGGTAGTTCACCACCAGCTCGGCCACGGTATTGCCGTCTTCCATCTTCTGGTTGAGGTAGAAGGTGTCCTTCTTGTTGGTCTGCTCCGTGCTACCCTTCATCAAGGTGTAGAACACGTCCGTATTCTCGGGGATCCCGGACCTACATAGAATACCAAAAAAAGAGAAATTAAATAGGAGATTTAATCCAGTCCAGATCGTCCAGTCTAAAAGTGGCTATAAACAGGTAGAAGGAAGCTTCAAGTTTTCCGTCGCTTTAGAATTAGGTGGACATGCTGTATGGAACCCCTAGAGCCAAGGTTGATCTGGCACTCAAAACCAGAGGTGCGCACAAACTTTCCCAGCCCGCGACCAACACGGTCGTACGGGCTCCATCCCATTTCATTCTCCCTCTGCATTCCCTCATCCCTCGTCAAGGGACTGGATTCTCGGCTCCTGTGAATAGAACAGAGGGCGGCATACCTGGCCTTGATAGCGATGACCCGGCTGCCCACTTCCAGGTTCTCCCTGATGAAGATGGGGCCGTACACAGGCTGGTCCCAGATGGGGGGGTTGTTGGCACGGTCCACCACATCAATCATCACTTCCACTGTTGCCTGGTGCTGGGGCACGCCCTTGTCAAGTGCTATGGCCCGCAGCTGGTACTGGTCCCTCTGAAACCGCAAGAGACTCTGCTCCAGTCCGAGCAGCGAACAAAACAGCGCAGAGCCTTTCCATCCGCCGAGCCGTAAAAGCAGTGTAGGCTCGGCTGTCACTATTTTAACCGCAACAGCACCAAATACCATTCTTAGGCCGTACGCTTTTTGGTGACTCCAACTTGTTCTGTGTAGTATTTAGGGTTTTCTAAGATTTCTTGAGCCTGATTGCACGTAAAATAAGTCCAGAAAACACACAAATTTTTGCGGCGGCGCTTAACATTGCATGACCGTGAAGAAAAAAAATGCTGACAAATTGTACATGTGCAAGCAATATGACGTCCCATAACAACCAACATAAACATAATGGTGATCGGAATGTGCTTTTCATGAAGACACGAAGGAACTATTTTAACCTCTTAAAACCTAATTCTTGGGTATTTCTGATGCTCAATTCCATAATTGTTGTCTTAAAAATCTAAATTTTTGTCTTCAAAATAAAATTTTTTAGCCGCAAACGAAATGGGAGCAAAATTTAAAAAAAACAGTGCTATCGTCTAAAATGGTTGAGTGTGAACGGGGGAAAGCAGACGATGCTCGTCCTGAACGGTTTGGGAGTGGCTCCACATTGACGAACAAGGCTCGTTCAAAAGGGTTATGGGGTTAATGATAAAAATTAGAATGGTGATGGAAAACTAGCACAACCCACAAGTCAGGATGCCAGTGAGGTATGAAGCGTCCCGCCACCTACCGGCTAGCACCTTAGCTGCCAGCTGGTAGATAACGACGAGATAAAAGTGCTGTTCTTCTATGTAGCACTCTGGTCTAGAGTCGTGTCTGGTTCTTTCTCTCCCAACCTAACAGCCAGGTCCTTGGTTTTTAGGCAAATATAATTTTCATGCCAGCATCCTTTTGCTGGTTGAAAGGGTTTGAAAATAAATGAAAGGGCACTTGAAGAGCAACTCAGCTTAGTTCTTAAAAAAAAACATAATGGGAGATTTTACACTCAGTGCTAATTAATGGCTCTACATCGCAAATATCCCCAAGAATTAAATATTTTTCAAGCAGTCTTGCTGTAGACATTGCGGGGATTGATGTCCAGCTGCGCAATGTTCTGGCTCACTGTTCATTTCATTCAGTGTGCGACCCTCAATTGGCACGCATCAGAGAGCTCATGCATGCTCTAAAAAATAGGCGATTTTTTTTTTTTTTTTTTTTTTTTTTTTTATTATGCCTAGCAGCACACATTGGCAGTGCTGGCATTTGCAAAATGATTGATTACAGAAATGGTGAAGCAGATCCAGTGCTCCCCAAAGCTGAATAGGTCGGAAGAGACAAGCTACTCACGTCGAGAGCCTTCTGCAAGCTGATCCAGCCAGAGTCAGGGTTGATGGAGAAGTAAGCCAAATTTCCGGGATCGTAGGGCGCAGTCAGGTTGTAGACGATGGCGCCGTTGTTGTCTGCATCCTCGTCGGAGGCAGACACACGCAGGATGTGGATGCCCACTTGAGTGTCCTGTTTCACATTTTCCCGATACTCCTGGCGGTCGAAGAGCGGAGGGTTGTCGTTGATGTCCGTTATTTCTACCTTGAATGAGCAAACCCCCTCTAGCGGAGGACTGCCCCTGTCTGTTGCCTTCACTGTGACGCTCACAAAGCGTCCGTCGTCGCCCTCACGGTCAAACACCTGCGACAAAAAGATGCACGTGAGAGAAAATCCTCCCGAGGTAAGTGATGCCCATTCAACCTTTAGCCGAGTTATAATTCACAAGTGCCTATTCTCCCATGAACCTAGCAGCTAGACAAATGCACCCTATAACTTTTTTTTTTAATATCCAGTTATAAGTAATGGTTGATACCAAAAGCACCAACTTCGTAAAATGGTCACCGCATAGTGACCCAGCAGTTGCGGCGTTTCTGAAAAAATAGAAGTGGTAGCCACCTTGTTGGTTCTGATTTCCCCAGTCAGTTCATCCACACTGAACTTCGTTCCCTTCTGGTTCGGCTGCTGGACGATGGAATACCGTACTTGGCCGTTGTGGCCCTTGTCCAAATCCTTCGCCTTCACCTGAGGGGCAAGTCAAGAGAGAAATGGGAGATTGTTCATACTTACCAGTCTTTGCAAACTCATGAGTTAGCCATTAGAAAGATATCCCAAATTACTTTACTATATGTACTAAAAATTGCCCTCTCCAAGCGGGCAAGATGCTCCCAAATCTACAGTGCAAGAAAACATAGCAGCCGTTTATGCTGCATGACTAAAATGATTGCTAAGACCCCATAAAACTACATAGAGCAGAGCCCTGTTGTAATGAAGTCATTGGAAATTAGAAGTGTTTATGTTACAACACCCAGATTTTGCTGTCATGTGTCCACAAAAAGGTATGTAGAAAAGGGCATGAAGAAAATTGCAGTACACAGATACATGACAACGTGTTTTGTATGCAAAGATAATAGCCGCACTTCCACTATTCTTTGGGGCGTTTAAAAGGGGGCATGCTCGAGAGGAAACCACAACATTAATTTGTGTGAAATCCCCCTTGTTTAAAAAAATTAATAAAAAATTGGGGATCACGAAAATGCTATGTTTAAAGGGCAGACAAATATTTCTTGCAACTTGTATGACTATAGTGATATACCATGTAACAGAACCTTGACAGTTGCATTCTACACACCCAAGAGCATAAGCATGCCAAGTTTGGTTGGGATAGGACTATATGAAGTACAAAAATTCATGCGCACAAACTTTGGAGATCACTCAAAACAACAAAAGGGGAAAAACAGATTTCAGTGTTATCATGGATGTGCACTAGTAAAAGAGCAGTCTAGTTGACATGAAATTTAACCACTATGCATGACAGGGCTTTGCAAGACGGCACAGAAGTTTAGGATTGTCCAGCGCCATATCTAGCTCCTTCACAGTCCATGCAACCACAGCCTTGACGTTCACGGCAAAACTGTCCCGGAAGCTGCCATTTCCGGTCTCTCCACACGGCTCCCAACTGACATTGTCGGCCGCAGAGGCACTCCTCAAAGGATAGGTCGACGAAAGCACGGACGCAGGGTACGCATCGTTCTGGCAGCACAGCTCCAGAAAAGATGCCAGTCCCTTTCGCTTAACGGCCGATTCCTGGATGGCGAGTTCGCACTTTCCACAAGTCGAGCATGCCGCGCCACTGACGACAGCTTTCATTGCGCCGACCTCGAAGATCACAGTCCTTGCACACACCCCCCATCTCCAGCTCTCTCTCCGTTTTCTAACATCCTGATCTTCTTTTCCGATACACTAACGAACTCGTCAGCGCAGCCAATGAAACTCTAGCGATCTGACTCGGAAGCATCGCCCCGACCAAGGTTAGGGTTAGCTGCTGCATATTAACTTTTCTTCTTTGAAGCTTTCCGCTTGCCCTTTTGGCAACTTCCTTTGAACTTGTGCGTCGTCCGAAACTTCTGACCTCAAAAGTCTCGTTTTCAGTCAACGTCCATCGCAAAGAAAACAGAATGATAGAACAATTCGTTCGTTCTGGTATCAGGAGCAGTGCAACGCTAAAACATCAAGCAAGCTTCACCGTGCAGCACGTTGCTCTCGGCCAATGGTGGGGCCACAATCGCATCACATGACTTAAAAGGCCAGTGGCGACGCGCGTTTGTAGGCTTGCAGCGGGAAAAAACATTTCTTATTATTTGCAACCAGAATACGAAACAATTGACGACAGCTTCAGAGTGAAAACGGCTAGATCTACGCGCTGAAATAAATGTGATGGCGGGCGACGTCGCAATCCAAAGAACTGCTAGCTCGAAAATAGCTCAGATTTGTGCTGTTTTCCATCGCGAGAAAGGCTGCAAACTTATATCTGACTAATTTCAAGATGAAATCCAGTCTTCGTTTTTTTTATAAGCAAAAGACGAAGGTTCAAAGATAATAGAACACTAAAAAATGCAAAATCACTTTTTTTCCAAAAAATGGCCGTTTTTCGAGTCGCATCTTTCATTAAATGAAGAACTCATGACGAAAGGAAAAGGAAATTCGGTGTATAACCCAGAGGATGAGTGGTGCTAGCGCGAGATATATTTGAGGTGTGCTGTAGTAATATGTCTTGGACTACAGCTGCAAAGTAAAACAACACTGGCATTCTCACAACTAGAAACAGAGCAAATTTTTCTTTAATCCCAGGTTGACAGATTTAAGTTTTTCAACTTGCTGTGCCAAGAAACTCAACAAACCTCAAGCTTTCCATAATCTTATTTGTTCACGGGTTCAGCGAATTTCAAGCTTTCCAATCTTCTTGTCAAGATTTTCTAAACTTCAATCTGCTGATCCCGCAAATTTCAAAATTGGGCAATCTCGAGCCACGTTGACTGTTTGAAGACTTCAAATATTACCGCAATTATTCGAAAATAGGTCTATGTTTTTATGAACAGACCTGTGTGTCTACTTTCCTGCAGAAACCACGAAGGCCAGTCGTTAAGACGTACGAAAGGAGCCGAAGAGTGGCGAAGCAGAGATAACATTTGGAATAAAAGAAAAGGTGCATCTTTCGCTCACAATGTGAGAAGAAACAAAAGCGACGGCTGTAGCACAGTCGCGCCATGCGGGTGGGATGGTGCCGTCATGTAACTGAGGACGGAGGTGCGACGTGGTTAATTCTCATGACCTTCGAGGTTGGCGTTGTGGATGCTACTGACGACTGCCACCAGTGATCCATGAAGTAAGTGCGCAAGCGTGGTGTAAGCTTAGAAAACCACCCAACATTACGCGTAGCAACTGGAAGCTGCCAAAGTAGGATTTCACATAACGCAAGTAACGTTCGAAAACGAGTCTTTCAACCAGACGACTAGGATGATTCTCTCTTGGTTGCGCAACTCTTGGCAGGACGCCAGGGCTGCCCTCTTCCCTCGCTTCACCCCGCACGGAGGACGACAAGTTTAGTTTTGACTTCCCTCTTCTCTCGGCAAGAGGGGAGAGAAGAAGGGCTTGTTTCATTCTTGGCGCGCGGCGACGACAAGGGACGAGGACTCTCTGCAAAGCGTCGCCCAGAAAGCTATAGCTTTAAAAAAAGCGATCCACACAGATCTCATTTCTGCATTGAGACGTTATTGGTACCTCGTAATTCTCCAGGCCTCTTCAATGAATCGCAATGATTGATGCTTCTTGAGTGTTGCAGAGAAATACACATGCAGGCATCGCACATAAAGAGGTCGACCTATTTTCGAATAAACACGGAACATTGACAGTCTGAACTGGTGCCCAACCAAACGAGTGCAAACTCATTTTTCTATCTCTGTGGGTTATGGGCCACATGACCTGTGGTCCATCAGAATGAGAAAGAGAGAGAGAAAGTAAATTAAGATTGTGGACAGTGGAGCAGACTTAAAGACGCGGCACGTCGCTCGACCAGGAACACATACCTTGATGACCGAGGTGCCACTCTGGGCCCCTTCCTCCACCTTGGGGGTGTACGTGTGACACTCGTCGAAGACCGGCTTGTTGTCATTCACATCCGTGATGAAGACCACCACAAGGGCTGTACTCGTGTGGGGCGTCAATGCCCCGTTGCGACAGCATGCCCCATCGTCCCGTGCGGTCACATTCAGCTCGTACTTATCCTTGTCTAGGTGGATCGGCCCGTTGATTAGCCGGATCACACCTGCGAGCAGAGGAGCAAAGGTATGAGTCCACACCCAAATGGCTTGCTGCATCCTCACTCCAATCTAGTTTGTAAATTGCTCTTGAGCTATTTAACAGAGTGGTGTGCATTGCAACGGCAGTCGACAAAACAGGGAATTGCAAGCCTTCCTCTAGCTAACCCACAGGTAACAATTCGTAAAATGAGGCAATATTGGCTGCTAAATAAGGGCTGGCTACCCCTCGATTCCTAACCAGTCACCACGACTGAAAATTAATTAACTTCAAATGTTTTTATATCAACTAAACTCAAAACAAGAAGCCTACATTGCTCACCAAAAGAGGATGTGTTCACCCCTATTACACTTTAAATTGCCTGCGACCTTCCAAGGAATTTCAAAACCAGTTTAGAAAATGATTCAGGCAAATGAAGGTCAGATTTCTAGTTCATATCTGACAGTTCCGAAAAATTTTTACACCATTAATTGGTTCAGACCATGCAGATAGAGGGAAACTGAAAAACTTGCAAAAATAAACTGCATTAAAAATGAGCTTTTTTTTTTTTTTTTTTTTCATTTTTAATTATTTTACTAAAATTGGGCAGAAGTAAATGTAAACCACTTCTATTTTCGAAGAACATCCAGTTATTGGCGCAGGGCATGCAGCGAGCCTCTTTGGCACCCATTACCTGTCATGGGCATTGTGACTTCATTGTTGGCATCTCTGAGGCAGCTGAGAGGCGAGTAGGGTCATCTGATACAGCCAATGACGACACGTTTACTAGTTATCGTTTCTACACTCCTCCTCTTCTGCGCTCAGCACACAGTAATAGGCTACACGGAAACTTTGATTGGCATACTACCCTACAATACGGCGCATCCACCCATTCCACATTAAGCACCCATATCCAAATTTCTAAGATATGAAAAAATGTGCACAGTACATTTATATGTAAAATCGATGATCAAACAAGCGCTCATCCCCCATTTTTCGCAATTATCTCTAAATTTTGAGTGGGCGCTTGCCCGGTATTTTACGGTAATCAAATTGAAAGGAAACTTGAAACATTATTTCTACAGTTATAAAGGCTTACATCCAAACTTTCACAGTTTTCTTAATTCAAAAGCTTTTTCAGCTTCCCTTTAAATAGAACCCTGTTTATACGCTCCAAGGTTGATAGATTTTCGTGGTTGTTTAAACTTTCATAGAATTGATGCACTTAATTTATTGTACGCTGCATTGCACTTTTCATGCGAGCGAGCATGACCACTGAGTCTGTCATGCTCGCAAGAATGCAGCCCTTACCACTGAATGGATGAATTTGACTTCACTTTTGAATCAGAAGCCAGCTTTCCGCCACCCTGAGCCATTCAATAGAAGGCAGTGGCATTGACGAAAGTTGGTCTGTAAGTCACTGCTGCGGAACAGTTGCTTCCCCCATTTCACCTATAAGCCCACCCAGATTGTTACAAATCCTTACAATTTTCCTGGATTATACTTTTTTTCTTCTGCGGTCTGCTGAAAACAGTGTCAACCACAGATAGAGACAAGTCATGAATTCAACAGCCTTTGCCGTTCAGAGATTCAGATCACTCTGCTAGCCAATCGCTTTCACTTGTTTCCTTGACGTCGCTGATGCCACAACATTACAAACTTTTTCAATAAGGCAACAAATGATGCCGAAAGACAGACTTCTCCCAGCAATTTTTCCACTCTTTACCTATACAGGTGTGTCGCCAAGGTCTTGCCAGTATTCACTCAGTTCACAATAGTTTCTGCAAAACAGTGCGAGGCTCAAGTCGGGGATTGTGTCGCCGCTGAAGTGTCCAATGTGTGCGCTTGCAGAGAAGACATAAACCTAAATTTCAATTTTAAATTTTTTTTTTTTTTTTTTTTTTTTTTTTTTTCAGTTATGAAGTTTTCTGTTTTAGAAACCCTTCCACTGAATTTGATAACCATATGCCAAATAGCTACGCTGATATAAAATATTTTCAACACATTGTGAGGCAGGAACAAAGTAAAGGAGTTCATTGTTTGAATGCATTTTTCTTAGTTCCACTTTTCGCTGCAAATTTCATACGAAGGAATCTTTTGTTCAAAGGTAAAATTATTCTGATACCACAATCAAGATGTTTCTGAACTGAATTTACTGGGGAATCGAGCTATCTACTTTTTTTTGTTTTAAATTAGTCCTCATAAAAAAACACAATGTTTTCAAAAATTGACACGGGATAGATATGCACCTCGTATTTTGAGGTAATAACTCTTCCTGAAATATTTACATTTGAGGTAAAAAAAACCAGATAGCCTGAAGTCCCACATCCCCACTTTATATTCTAGCAGTCAAAATGGTGCTTAATAGCTTAATTTGCATATCACAGATTTCTTAACGAAAAGTGACACATCTTATGCAGGTATGTAAAGTTGTGCTAGAGAGCTGAAAGTTTCCACAGTAAACCTACATCTGACGTTATATCTCCACTGCAAATTTTATTCGGATCACTTGAGTAGTTCAGAAGCTAAATCTCTAGCCAGTGTTCCCCCTTAACAGCCACAAAAGCTCTTTGACTTGTCTTATCTACTTATTTTCCCTTTGTTTTCTGTTAGCCCCCATCTCAAGTTAGTGTCAAAATCGTGGCATTATCAGCTTTTCTTCAGTGGTTTTTATGAGACCATTTGAAAATGATGTCATAACCACAGAAGTGCTATGCTGCATGAGATGTCCTCAAGTGACACTGCAACTGCAAAGACAAGGTGTTTCACCAAACTCCACCTGCTTCTCAGAGAATTAACGAATGAAGGCTGCCTAAAGAATAAATTCAAAGGATCATTTATTCATCCGTGAAACGTGGAGGCTTTGCCAAATATCGACGCAATCAGTCGCATGGTAAACCAGGTAAGCAATGACTGCATCATTCAACCGTGCACATCCGACGATGAATGAAGCGTCATGTCCCGCCATCACTTGTGTCTCGTTGAGGCGGAAAATCTTACAGCCTTCTCTGTGTTGTGCGATGTCAAGCAGGTAAGCACCCCTTTCCGACCATGCTACGACATTTTCCTGCTGGATTAGCAGTGAGTTTCACTCCCTCCGCTGTAGAGCGACGCCAACATGCGGAGCCAACCATGCACTATTTACTAGATAGTCGAGGGCCCCAAAAAGGGGCTTATAACGCTTGTAAGCGAAGTTTTTCCTGAATTCTTGAGTTGGCACCGATCATAGGTTTTACTGTAGTGTCTTCAAGCTCACCTAACTATAGGTGCCCACGTAAAAGCGCACTCGGAAGGAATTATCGAGGCCCATGCAGCACTCACCAGTTCTTTCTTCGATCTGGAACATGCCCGAGGTAGTCCCACTGTTGACAAAGCCAAAGAGGATGTTGTCACCATCTTTGTCGCTGGCCACCACCGTCGTGACCAGCGTTGAGGGGCCCGCATTCTCGTCCACGTTGGGTGTATACACGTCCTGGCTGAACTTGGGCGCCTCGTCGTTCTTGTTCTCTGTGTAGATGCGCACCGTGGCGGTGCCAGTCAGCGGGGGCTCCCCGCGATCCGTGGCCCGCACTGTCAGTACGTAGGTGTTGTTCACGTCCGCATCCAGCCGCTTGTTGGAGTACACTACTCCCCGGCTGTCGATTGTGAAGTCCTCCTTGTCCAACGAGTACACCAGCTCCGCGTTGCGACCAGTGTCCATGTCGGTCGCTGACACTGCAAGTGCCACAAAAACCACAAAAAAGTGCTAAACTGTCCAGGAACCACCCGAAATAAAAGTGGACTCTGCTGTGTTCACCGTGAGAGCGATGTACATGAATATGCATTCATACCTATATGGTCCTTGGCTAATCACCATAATAGTACAAATAATAAATCTAAAAGTAGAGGAAGGAGTTTGAAGTACATACGAGTCCTTGTCACTCACTACAGATGTCAAAAGCTACCAGGTTTGCAACACTTCTCGATCTCGTTGTCACAAGAATCTTCTCCAGTATGTTCGCGCTAGGCAGTTTCGACGTCCATATCGTATTTACTGACCTCTCTGCCCTCATTCCGCCGACAGCCTACTGAATGTCGCAAAGATTTTGCACAGGTGTAATCAGCGCCATAGATTGACAGCCCAGCCCCCCCACACACACAAACACACACAATAAGAAAAATACGCCTTTCCTACATCCAGCTTTAGTCAGCAATCCCGCCCTTACTCAAATTATGCCACAATGTTTTTTATTTAAAAAAATTAACAACACAATTTAGATTTCTTGTAGCCCCTCCAGAATGTCAAGCGTGAACAGCATATAGAGAAAACTAGGTACAGGCACTGTATACAGAGAGATCATACACACAACATTCACTCCTGTATCATAATGTGACAAGGAATCTTGGTTAGACTCACCTTGCAAAATAGATGTTCCAACTGCAATATCTTCATCCACATTGTGGGCCTGATAGTCTGGCAGTTCAAATCGAGGAGCGTTGTCATTCACATCGGTGACCTTGATAGTCAGCTGGAACGAGATGAGAAGGCAAATTAGCAACTCAATAAAATGCTCAAAGCACTCTCCCCCAGACGTCAAGCAAAGGGCAGCAAAAAGAACCTAGAAAGCAAAGCCCCAAGTAGGTACTTCAAGCACTAATGAAGTCCTTACTGAAACCTATGATGCACAGATTGATGATGATGAATTGATGAATTACCTTGGTAATTCAATAATGTTTCATTTGAAATCCCGGCTAACAGAATTTTCATGGTCCCATAATTTCTCACAGAAATATGACCAGATATTGTTAGCAGCCAGTGCAAACCTACCAAGTTGATTTGGCAAATTGATATTTCTGGTTCACAATGCAAATGCTAGACGGCGCAAGCCAGCACCCAGTTATGCCAACAAAAACTAACTTGGCGAGCCACCATTGTTCCATTTCTTCTTTGCTGATCCACACAAGCTTAGCAAAGTTCTTTCGTTTCCTTGATGCGCACGTAGCAGTTTGCAATGATACAGTTTTTGTTGCAGCCTAGCAACCACCAAAGCCATAGTCTCAAACACAGTTCTGCTACAAGAGAAGAAGACCTAGCTGAATGATAAACCATGGCATTTTCCAGATGCTGGCCAATACAACCTAGAATACAAGGCCCGTGCGCTATGTCACTGTCAGTAGATCCCCGACCGGTCCCAAGTGGCAAGCACACTCAAGTTCGACGCGAGTTTGCGGCAAACCGGCAGATGAGCGTATCCTGATGTCACCGCATGCCAGTATTGCACTCGTTGCATCGCCACAAGTGCGAGCTAGGTGGCTCTGAATGAATGCACTAGTAATAATGTGAAGAGGAGGGGAGGTGCAGACCTAGTCTTTTAGGCGATACTGGTCTGGCAGCAATCACTCCACTGACTACGTTAACATAGAAGAAAATTAGCTACGTGGACACTGAAGTTAGACCCAGAGAGGCGGCAAGATGGTGCGACGACCGAGGATGATAGCGATGAGCCCACCCCGGCTCTTTCTCTCCAAGAGATGTTGCCTGCATCTTCGTTGCATGTTCAAAGAGGAATTCTGAGGTGTTTACATGGTTCACTTTATCAAGAATGTGACTATGGATGCATAAACTATAGAATGCAGCAAGCCCACATTCAGGATTACTCTCTGTAATTGTGTCACGTTTGCAATGAAATGTTTTTGGCCCGCATGTCCAAGTGTTCCACTTCATTTTTACAATTTCCTTTCCTTTTTAATTTCGATAACCCCAAGCCCGACAGACTTCAAATTAGCAAGTTTCCACAGCATGTCATCCATGTTGGTATCGCACCATGCATTGTTGTACGAGTTGGTGTCTTAGACCGCTTCTACACATACTACATATGCAGAAGTGCTGTGCCATCATTGGAAGCGAAGCGATAAAAACCTCACCTTTTCAGTCAATCCTATGTGGCTAAAATTTCCCCATAAACGACCACATTCCAAGGTTTTCTTTTTTTGTGCTGTACTGCACTGAGGTTTTCTAAATATCATACCTTATTTACTCACAGAATGAACGCACTTTTCCGAAAAATCGATGCAAAGTTGGGGGGGGGGGGGGGGGGGGGGGGGGGGGGGGCGTTCATTAGGCGAAGTAAAATTTTTGTGTCCGTATTTACTCGCATAAGCATAATGAACGGACCTTTTATCCTGAAAAATCGAAGTAACTTGTTATCTCTTCGCGCGGGGCGCGCCCGACCCCGGTAACCAAACTGCGCTGTGCAAAAAAAAAAAGAAAAAAAAGCTCCTCTTTGTTTCTGTTTTTTCTTAATACCGTGATGACTTTTTTTTTTTTTTTTGCCGCTTTTTGCAAGCTGTTTTGTTCGCTTAGAGCGCTTCTCTTTCTTACCTCCTTGCGCGCGGCGGCGCGCGAACCCAAAGTCCATACTGCCCTGTGAAAAAAATAAATAAAAAAAAAAAAGCTCCTCTCTGTGTTTCTTTTTTTCCTTGCTTCTGTTCAATCTTAGCGAATTTTTTTTATAACGCCTTTTGCAAGGCGTTTTGTTCGCCACGCTAGCCATGCATTCGCGACTTCGCTGCACCTGGATAGAAAAGTGCGTTAATTTGGCGCGCGAAGGGGGAGGGGGTCAAAATTTTGACGTCCGAGATGGGGGGTGCGTTTATTACGCAAGTGAAAAAAAAAGTAGAAATTTTGAGAGACGACTTGGGGTGCGTTCATTACGCGAGTGCGTTCATTGTGTGAGTAAATACGGTAGGTGATTAAAACAGTTATTTACCTTAGAGTTCTCCTAAATTTGTTTTATGAAGGAGATACAGCTGCAGAGCAATTTTTCGGACTTCACAGGGACCAAAAACATCCGAATAAAAGAGCAGTCCGAAAAATCAGCACAATAAAAATACTTGCCTTTATTACGCCTAAGCGGGCTTAAAAAAAAACGTAAATAGTGCTTAGCTTCAGGTTACGCCTGCGCGCCTTGTTTTAGGTTATACCTTCGTTTGCATTCGGCAACTTTTTATTAGCTTGAGAATCACTGCCGTCTTTTCTAGAGTCATGGTAGACTACTTTCTGCGCTTCTCGGCGACACATCGCGGCGGCGGAAGAACAAATGGGGCAATGACGTCCAAGCTAGCGTGGTCTGAAAACATGATTCACAGAGATGAGATCGAGATGAGAGGGGCAAGTTTACGACTGCAATGGCGAAAGAGCAAAGCAAAATGGTATTAATAATGATAATGACGCGCAGCTATAAAAAAAAAAGCCGTAGAGTGACCTAGCAGTAGGACTTAAGTAGCGCTGGCAAACCAAGCCAATCCATGTGCGGCCAACATAGAATCCGAAATGGCCCCTTCTTGATGGTGTTTCCCGCTGATCTTTCGCGACGAATTTGTCCAAAAAATCTAACTTTCAGACATCAAGCTGTCCGAAACATTGGTCATGAATATGCACCTTTCCTATCGGGTACATCATGGATCCTCCAATAGATCCGAAACATCAAGCAATTTCGAACGCCGAATTATCGGCGTCCGAAAAATCGGGTCAGCGACTGTACACTGGTAAGCAAGCTTTTCAACAACAGATGAAGCAAGTGTGGGTGGCATTAAAACACTGATCTACTCAGCGCCATTCCATCTCACCAAACCTGTCGTCATTCTATTGTACGGCATAACTTGAGCATGTACCGACAGCATCTTAAAAGCACTTGCTGCACCTACCATAACCGGATTTACTTCGTGCACATACTTTACAGAGCTGGAAAAGGGAAAAAAGTTAAATTGTGACCGAAGAAAGAAACGACAAATTGTGACCAATCCGGGAATTACCTGGAGACTCACTTTACACAACGGTTGGGGCAGGCACGTAGACAGGATTTTGTTTCGGGGGGGGGGGGGGCCATGACAAAATGCTGTATGAGGGGGAGAGGAGGCCCCAGCAAAATGGAAGATTTCGGGGGTGAGGGGGCCCAGGCCCCATGCCTTCCCCCCCTGGCAACATGCCTGGGTTGGGGCAATTAAGGCAATTCAAATGAGGAACTCCCGACGATACTGAGGGAAACCACTGTGTTCCTAGGAAAGCAATGCTTCTTTTATGCAGTTCTGGGTTTTTTCCGCTTGTTTCACTCTGTGTCTCTCCAGTTTCATAGTGTGTGTTTACTGTGCCTGTATGAAGAAAAGTAATAAGCAGATGCTTTCAGAGGAAGCCCCATGTTTCCCCGACTGCAGGAAAGGAAGCAGCAGTACCTCAACAGAGGTAGAGAATCCCCCGGAGTCCTCTGTGGCAGTGACAATGAGAGAGTATGACTTGGGTTGTCGCAGGTCCTCGTAGTCCAGCTCCTTAGCCAGCTTGACCACTCCACTTGTGGGTCCGATGTTGAAGGTGCCAGCTCCCTTGCCC